ATAAGGGTGGGTGTTCACCGGTAGGTCTGCTGTCTTTCCTCCAGTTCTTTCTTTCTATGCTTCTGAAAGATGTCCAAGGCATTGTCTCCTGCCAGGTGAGCTAGGGAGATGATAGATCACAGCTTTGTCCAAGCTGGTGCCATTCTTGGTTTGTTCTCATCTCTATTCTTGATTGTATTACAGTATACTGTCCCCTTTTTCTTTGGCTCCTCCTCCTCTGATTTGTCTGTGACATCATTTATCTATTTTTGTTCACACCTTATTCCTGATTTTCACCAATCTCCTAAAGCAAATATCCCATGTTTACTATACTTTTTGTTCTTTAATTCACATTCGTCTACCAGTCCCTACTCATCATTATCTCTGAATCCTCTGCTTAATCTCCTGCCATGTCCATACCTAGCCTGCATAATCACATATTAGTTTGGTACATTTAGCCAGTCCTGGCCTTTCCCTGTCCTCATCTTCCCCTCTCTCCTAAATGACATATTTCATGTTAGCTCTACTTATATACACTACCCTTCTCCACCTCCACCCTTAACTGTTCCTGATTACAAGAATTTCTGTGCATGTTACTTTCAGCCTCTTATCCTACCTGTGAGAACAAAAGGTTCCAAGAGTCTATCAGTCTCCCCATCCCATAATTTATATAAAACTAACTTGTTTCTGTTCTCACCTGTATTTAACTTCACTTGTTCTTTTTTTTAAAGGTATTTGTTAATTTTTTTAAAATTAATTAATTAATATTTTTACAGTAGAATGCGTTTTGACATATTGTATGCAAATGTGAACAACTTTTCTTTCTTTTTTAGAGAGAGAGAGAGAGAGAGAGAGAGAATTTTTAATATTTATTTTTTAGTTTTCGTCGGACACAACATCTTTGTTTGTATGTGGTGCTGAGGATCGAACCAGGGCTGCACGTATGCCAGGCAAGCGCGCTACCGCTTGAGCCACATCCCCAGCCCCTTCACCCCCTTTACTTCTTCTTCAGAAGCACATATTCCATGTTTCTATTCTTACCATGTCCATATCCCTAATTGTGTCACGATGTTTTTCTCCTTTTTTCCCATGGTAACAATTTCAGCTTTTGCTGTCCTCATTCATCCCCATCTTCTGCCTTGTCTCCGCTCCCCACAGTTGAATTCCCTGTTATTCTACCCCAAACAGCTCTCCAACATCGTTGTCATTTGTTTCCATAGCTGTGTCCTGCTCTCAAGTTACTGACCACCTTTATTCCATGGGCCCCTTTACCTGTTGCTGCCCTAACATAGAGGTATCCTTTCTACTTTGCTTCTCTGTTTTCCTTCATTGCTGCATCCCACTCCCTATCCTCACCTTTTTGGAAGAGAATCTCCAGAATCTCCCTCTTCAGCCTCACTCACACCATCACTTATTCTGGGTAAAACTTTGGGTCTTCATAACTTCTTCCCTTTTCCTGTCATGCATCCTGGAATCCCTGCACTCCACGTGCCTCGGGGTCTATCCTTTCTCTAAGCACCACCGACCTTACTCAGTCCTTTTCTGCTCCTCTGCCCCCAGCACTTCCTGAGGAGGACTTGCTCCCACTTCCCCAACGCTGCCGGCTCACCAGTGCCCTCGGGCAGGCTCAGGACGCCAGTGCCTTGCACCCAGCGGTAGCACGGGAACGCGGTCTCTGCGGTCTCCGCGGAGGTTCCCGGACCTTGCACGGTGATGCGATCCATCGCAGATCACAGAACCACGCGCTGTCCACCAGTGAGTGCTGTTTGCGCAGCTTCACGAACTGCAATGGCCCCAGATCCTCTGGAGTGTCCAGAACAAACTCCTCCTCCTGTGGGGGCCAGACCCGCCAGACTTAGCTGAAGGACCTGGAGAAGCCGTTCTGAGGGCAGAACGGGCCCTTCGTGGAACTTCAGTTTATCAGGGCCTCGGAAGACAGTATCACCTCCCTTCCTCCTCCGCATGACCTGTCCCAGGGGTCTCTGTTAGGCTCTATTTCAGCGCGAGCAAGCGGGGGCCCGCAGTGCATTGCAAGCAGTGACTTGAACTGACGATGGAGCATCATCCTTCACTGAGGATCGTGCTTGCAGGAGCTTCAAGGCTGACCACTGGTGGCATAGTTACACTGACTCTGGGGTCATTTGGAGATGGAGTTGGAGGCCGCCAGGACCAGGGTCGGAGAAATGAAGAAGGGGGTTGAGCCTAATCCGGAATTAGGACTCCTAACACTACCCGCTTCTCCGGGGACCCCCTTTCTCCCTACGCTGCGGAAGTACCACCCCGGGCTGTCCTGTTGGAACTCTCCCCTAGTCTCCTACTGCTCGCCCACATCGCTCTGCAATCCTAGCCTGGCTGATGGCAGGTATCCGGGCTCCCACCCACTGACCTCGCCCCGCCTGGGTCGCAGCTGCTGCTCCAGCTCTGCCTCCCGGTGAGCCCCCACCAGCCACAGCTGCACGCGGTTATGCGACCCTGAGAAAACCCAGGCCCCAGGGGCCAAGCGGTTGCGGTAGCAGCCCATGGTACCCCCGGCCTGCTGCCTCTGTAATAGCTGTCCGTTAATAAGCCTTGGGAAAGGTCTAGGGGACCTGCTTTTGATGCGTTGCCTGAAGGACCAGTCCCCAGCTTAATAAAGTAGGGTTTTGTGTGTCCGCCCACTGTAGGATTGGGGCGTTTCAGGTACCCACCCCAGACAGGCCTGAACCTGCAATTATCCCCATGTGGAGGTGGAGGTGGCTGCTCCTCTCTGTGGACAAGAGCGACTTTGAGGAAGGTGAGGGGCCAAGCGAGGGGGCACGAAGAAGGGGAGTGGGGACAGGCTGAGTCCATCAGAGTTTCTCTCCAGGCCTCTCTTCTTCCCCTCCTGTTTTGATACTGAGTAGCACAGAGTGAGCATTTCCTGAAAGATCTTGGGTGCCAATGTCCATTCTTTACAGCCTTACCTTGTGCCCATGTCAACTGTACCCACCTTCCTTTCTTCTACCAGATTTTGCCTCCTGAAGGGCATTGGGATTGTCCTTTTTGGTCACAGAAGGCTCCTTTTGAGGGACAATCAAGAGTTCAGGGGGAAATTATAGTCTTCACTGTAATATGATTTTATATGTTGATCCACTTAGAGAGGAGCTGATTTTAAAATTTTCTATCCTTCATACCCACCCCAAGAGAAGTCATTTTTTTTCAGTAGTCCATTTCGATTCCTTATTTCCACTCTTTCCCGTTCATAGAATTACTTATATGTTGTTTTGTATGTAAACATGAGGTAACATTAATTTTTTTTTCTTGGAACTTGCTTTTCACAGTACATGATACAAATAACAATGCATGATGGGAGAGAACTCCATGATGGAAATATTCAGATCATTAGGTAGAGATCTAATTGTATTCACTAACTTTTAGGATTCTCCTCTTGGTGAATCTTTATGGTGTTATTAGTAGTTATAACCATGATGAATGCTTTAAAACACGCATACATATGTGTGTATACACATACACATATTTACAGATATGTATTCTGAATACACAGAGCTTTTATATTATAGGTTCTCAAAAATGGGATTACTGAGTAATATGGCATCCACATATTTTATGCTCATATTGTAAATTTGTTTTCCAGAAAGGTTATTATATGGTATCAAAATGTCCTGAGGGGGTATGGGGGGTAGGAAAGATGGTGGAATGAGATTAACATCATTATCCTAAGTACATGTATGAAGATATGAATGGTGTGACTATGTACAACCAGAGATATGAAAAATTGTGCTCTATATGTATAATATGAATTGTAATGTATTCTGCTGTTACATATAAAAATTAAAATTTTTAAAAAATGCAAAGTTTTTTCCTAGCATCTTTACCAACACAAGGGGTTATCACTTTTTAATTTTTACTTGGTAAAAAGTGAACAATTAGGTGGATGGAAGGGTCTGGAATTTTACATTTATAAGCTAATGAGTTCATTAATGGGTTAGCCCATTACCAGTTGGAAGAGGCTGACAAAATACCCAAGACCCCTGGTTCAGAGAAAAAGGATTGAATTATTCATTGCTTCATGTTCACATCAGCTCCCCCTGCCCGCAATTCCATGGGGTGACACAGATGGGCCTAGATGATCTGTGTTATAGGAGAGGACCACTGAGTTTGAGGGACTTGTAAATAGAAGCAAGTAGTAAATAGAAGCAAGTCTGTTCTGTGTCTGGGAGAAATCACCTCATTCTCCAGGTTTCTTGCTGCAAACACAACTCTTAGACACATCCTGAATAAAGTTGACACAGGGCATTGCATTCCTGGCACAATCAAAAAAATATGCTGATTTGAAACTTGGGAAAAGGTGCCACTACCCATGTAGAATCAACAAAGGATCTTGAGTAGGGGTGATGGGAGATGTAGAAAAACACAAAGAAAACACAGAGACATTTTTAAGTAAAGATGGGGCCAGGTGGGACATTGTCCTCTGATGGAGGAATAATGACATAGCATATTCTAAGGATTGAAACCATTTAGGTCATTTAATAGCTGTTTTGCAAAATTGGAAGGAGATGACATAGGAATCTTACTTTTCTGTATGACTTGGATGTAGTGGTGCAGTTGTAAGAGATTTAAACTGTATTAAAGGAAGAGTGAGATGCCGTGAAAAGGGACAGTGGCAGAGGGATGCAGGGTTGGGGAAGTCACACAGAAAATGTTACTGTAGGTGGCCCAAAGGTCATGTGATTGAGGATTTAGAGAAACCTCGAGCTAAACACCACTGTTAAAAGCCAGATCCCTCAGCCCCATGGGGCTCAGTGGGCCAAAACTTCTGTCATTTAGGTTACGGATGCTTAAGGAAAGGCTAGAAGTAAGTGTTGATTCCTGGAAGAATTTTTTTTTGTTTCAGGAAAACGCCTTTCTTTTATCCCTTGGAAACTGAATAAGAAGGCAAGAAACAAAGAAACAAAGTAAGGTATTTTCTCTCACCTTCACTTACCACATAATCAACATGACAATTTAATCAGGTCTTTTATTTATATATAGACCAGCTCTTTTGGGAAAGGGAAAGAGGTAAGAGGGATGAAAGGTTAAGGAAGCATAGAACTTGTAGACATTAAGGTAGGCAAGTACAGAAGGTCCCAGGTTTCAATGTGCAATGGGAACAACATTGTTTATTCCCCAAATTGTGTAATGGGCAGCTTCAGGCACCTTGATGACACAGCTTTTGGGGGCAGCTGTTTAGCAGAGAACATGGGCATGGAGAACAAGAGTACAAGGGTGTGTGGGGACAGTGAGCTTTGGGACTGAGATGGGCAAGACCTCTCAGATGGTCACACTGTTTTCCACCATGCTAGGTTGAAGGTATTCATAGGGAAGGTCCAAGCCTGCATTCCGGACCTTAATCTCCCTGTCCATGACAGCCAGCTCCTCCTGGAATTGCTGCAGCACAGCCTGGGGCCCAGGGCCTGAGAAATATTTCTCCTTATGCTGCCCCAGGACCACCTGGGGAGAGAGAGGGGAACAAGATGGCTCAGTTCCTTGGGCCTCTCAGCCAAGATTACTGCCCCTCCCTCTAGCTATCACCTCCCCCAGAACCCAGGCATCTGTTTCTAACCATGACTGGCTGACATCTGCCAAGGAACTTGATGAACGTCTTCTGCATACGGGCCTGGTGGAGATCAGGCAGTGAGTCTACTATATCCTTCTCTGTCACAGCCTTGGAGATGGGTGGAGGCTTCCTCATGGTGCATGGGCCATTAGGGATCCAGGAGTACTCGTCTAGCTACAGGTAGAAAAGCCACTCAGAAACCCAGGTTAATGGCCCAGGCATTTAACTCCCCTCATATTCTAATCCCAGGAGTCCGTGGGGGATGATCACACAGATTACCTGTCCCAGGTGGGCCGAAGCATGCTGACCAGTGCATGTGAAGATACACATAGTAACAATGTGGCAGAATTGATCCAGGGACTCCAAGGAGAGGGGGAACCTGGGTGAAATGAGAATGAGAGGATTTGAGACCAGGACATGGGGCAGATATTTGGACATGAGGGAAAGATATTTGGAGATACATTAAAGAATTTCCTATGGACCTGGACTCTGAATTCTATGATTCACATAAAATGTGAACTCAAATAGGATATACTTGGGATAAACTTTAGAGCTATGGGGGAAAGAGTAGAAACAAGTAAGGAAAAAATATCTAAGCGAAGTCATGTATCTGATTCTGGAGAAAGTTCTTCGTGCATAAGGAGTAAAAGAGTATATGAGAGGATGATAAAGGAAAGGAACTGGGAAAATCAGGAGTGATCATTAAGGTTTCTGGATACTGTGGAAAAGTCCAGGGAATTCTCAGGGTCCTCAAGGAAGGGTGTCTTATGATGTTGTGAGGCAGGGAAAGTTGACAGGTGGGTGGGTGTTGACACAGGTTACTGGGGAGGATCCAGGCCTTACCCCCGGTCCTGGGCACCCTGCAGTCCAGTTTCAGTGATCTCCCTGCACCAGGCCTGCAGCTCTGAATCTTGCTTCACGGCTTTATCACTCTTATAGAAGAGTCCCACCATCTCATGCACATACCTGTTCCCCATGGAAAAGGTTGTTGTGACTCAGCCAGCCAACGTAGGACCTTCTGTACCTGTGGTCCCCCTCGTTCTATCACTCTCTATATCACCCTCACCTACTGATGATTTCCCACAGCCTGAGGGCATCTTGGCCATAGAGAGAAGATTTCACATCCAGGAGCCCATGGTCAGCCAGGTCATCAGGAGGGCAGAAGGAACGATAAGTCAAACAAGCTGTGGCTCTCTGGAGAATGTCCACATGGCCTCCACTACCTGTACTCACCACCTGAGGACAAACCTAGCATTAGCCAAACCAGGTGAAAAAGCGAGGGAGATTTAGGACCAGAAGACTCTTCAGGTATGATTCAGATTAGGGAGAGGCCTTTGGTAGAGAAAGCAGATTATGGGGGAACAATGAAAGAGGGATACAAACCTTGGGATCCTTCCAACATCGAACCCTCCTCCCTCTTCATCCATCCCTTTCCATACCAGATCAAAAATTCCATATTCAGAGACAAGATTGTTCCGGGCCAGGATGTTGATCTCCATGGTATAGCGAAAGTGGGGGATCAGGAGCTAATGGTAGAGAAAAGACATGGAACGCAATCAAATAGAGCTCCCAGTGTCCATATCTTCTGGAGAGTCATGCGATGTCTCTACTTTCTCACCTCACAGTTTCCGCTCAGCCCACACCAATCAGGGTTCTTGCATCTCTGCTTCCCTGAATAGCATTTTTCAGTGATTAACCATGTTGACACACCCAGATATGCCTTCTCTTTAACCATGCAGACCTCTCAATAGCATCGGAAACATATAATCCTACCTCCCTGTTGAAACCCTGTCCTCTGATGGCCATGAGTTACACACTTTTCTTTTTTGTTTCCCCCCACCTCAGTGGCTGACCCTTCTCTTGCTACTTTTCTCACTCTACTTTTTCCTCTGAGTTTCTAAAGGTTGAAGTAACCTAGAATTATATTCTGGGTGAAATGTTCTGCTGTGGCTACAAACCACAGAGAATCTTCCCTAGTATGATGGATTTAGAGACTTTTGTTTCCTAATAACCCTAAAATCTATATCTTCAATTTTTTCCAGGAATTCCAGGCTCACATATCCATTGCCCTCCTGACATTTTCAAATGGATGGATACCGGGATTGGAAACCTTGCAGGGTCAAAACAGAGCCCTTGCTTCTTCTCCCCATCAAGTAACATGGCTTCCTTGCTTATTTTTTCTCACTTACTTGTTCTATTACACAACACTCCAATCATTCACAACCCATGCTCCTTTCATTCCTCTCCTTTACAGATCAGACTTGAATGTCCCCATCCCTTTCTACCCTTGACAACCTCCTCAGTCCAAATGTAAACTCCTTTGTAAAACCTATTCTTACCTTCCCCACCTTATAGCAAGTGTGTGTCCTGGGTATTTCCATAGCAGACTGTGTGTGTGTGTGTCCGCGCGCTTGCGCGTATAAACTAAGATTGCTTCTAATATAACATGCTACAAGGTTAAACCCTGGGCCTCAAAGGCTAGGATTGTGAATTACGAACAACGATCAAATGCAGAATGACACAGATGCTGAAATACCTTGTAGATAGGATGCAGACTGGGCAGGCTCCTCATTGTGGCCACAGAAATAACCTCAGCCATCAGATGTCCCCTTAACAGATGTGACTGTAACTGGTGCAGCTGGAAATCAGAGCTACGGACCCATGTCTTGGCTAGGAGCCAGGCCATGGGAGGATCCGAAGGCAGGAAGAGCAGAGGTGGGGGGCATCCATGTCGAGGTGGCTGGAGCTAGAGAAGGAGGGAGAATGGGAGCTAAGAACTATGTATCTAAGTCCCTAAATGGATCAATTCTAAATGGATCAATGTCTAGGAGAAAGACACCTGGGTCCTCTTACCTGGATAACCATGGGTAAGAGTCTTCCATCAGGTTGTAGTTTCAGCATAACCAAAGGGACTGCCACATATTGTTGCTTAAAAATGATGATGTTAGGCTTGACCCCATCTAGCAGGGTATAATCAGCTTCAAACAGAGATCTAGCCTGTAGGGTCAATGTCAAGGACACAGAAAGGGGTTGGAGTCATCCTGAACCTGCCCTTCTCTCATTTCCCAAGGTGGATCCTTCCTCTATCCATCCAGGCTTTTGCTTTAAGCACCAATCACTTTCCCCAGAACCAAAGGCCCGAATGAAAGTTTTCATGACCAGTGTCTTCCACCAGACTCCAAATCCCCTGAATTGACTCTCCACCATGTGCCACACTCTCAACTATTGTCTTCCTGCTTGCTGGCTTTAGTCAAATGTGGCACAAAATATTTCCTTTATCCCCTCTTTTAAAATGTAAGTCTAGTTCTTCAAGGCTTTGGTCAGTCTTTTTGCTGTTTCTCTTTAGATCAAGCTCCTGCCTGAGACTGAGGCTCAGGTCCATCTAATGAAGTAGGAAACCAGGAAGGTGGAGATGGAAGAGAGGAAAGAAAAGGAGACACAGGAGATTATACAGATCATGGTTCTCAAGCAGGGGTGATGCCCCCCTCCCCTAAGAACATTTGACAATGTCTAGGGATGCTTTCAGTTGTCATAACTACCAGGGCAGAGGGTGCTTCTGGCTTCTAGAAGGTAAAAGTCAAGGGTTTCTACTAGAATCCAAAAATGCACAGGACAGTCCTCTACAGCAAAGAATTATCTGGCTTATAATGTTAATCGTGTCAAAGTTGAGAAATTCTAAGTGTACATGAAAGAGATAATGGAGGTGAACATGAAAGAGATAAGGGGAGGAAGAGATGGCAGGAATGGGAGGCAAAATGGTAGGGGGATGGCTGGGGTGGTGAAAAGCACAGTACCTGGAGCTCTTTGTTCAGTTGAGTTCGGAACTCTTCCATTCCTGGAGGCAGCACCAGCCTGGCTGGGAGACTCGTAGAACGCCTCAGGAGCATGGGGTTTGCACCATTGAGGAACTGGTATCCAAAGAGGTCATCATCCTTCCAGGAATCATAGACCCGCACTGAGGACATCAGTTTGGGACATGTTGTGTGCTCCTCATTGCACTGACATCAGTTTTCTACCTTCTGTCACCGCTCTTTTGTCAGATCCCTGAGCTGGAAATATATATACAGGTTTTAGCAGGTTGTGGTAACTGACCCGCCAGGGCAATCTTTCCACGTGGGAATATTTTTTTGTAATCTTCCAGTCTATGTACGCAATTTGCAAGATCCAATATCCCCTTAATGGCCAAGTTCTTCAACCTGTGTAAAGAATGACATGCAAGAAGAGTAAGAAAAATCTCACCTTACAGCCTGGGAAGAAAGTGCCTAACCTCAATCCAGCACTCTCTTTTGAGATACCAGGGGATTGAATTCATGGTGCTTTACCACTGAGCTACATCCCAAACCTTTTTTATTTTTTTGAGACAGGGTCTTGCTCAGTTTCTGAGGCTGGCCTCAAAGTTATGATTCTCCTGCCTCAGTCTTTGGAGTAATTGGATTACAGGTGTGGGCCACCACCCAGACCTGGCACTCACTCTTTTGTTAGAGAGAGGGTGAAATCCAAATCCTTATCCTATAGAAATCGTTCATTTCTGGGAAGGTCCCTCTGCGTCTTCCCTGCTACAGGCAGGATTAACCCATCCTTCCAGGAGCCCCACCTGGAGGAAGAACATAGAGTCGGGAGTAGGTGGAGCAAGAGGTAGTAGGGATCAGAAGCTTTCTGGGACTCACCGATAAGCCTTCCTTCTGTCCTCCAGCTCCTGTTCCCTATATTTCTTTAACAGGTTCTGGGGGTCATCACTCACGGACCGGGCTGGGTAAGGGGGAAACAAAAGACAGGCGTCCTCCCTGGAACCCCCTCTCACACTCAGCCCCACGGCAGGGCCTTTCCATCAGTTCTCTTCCTGAATCCCATTCTTGCATTTCTTACCTCTGCATCTTTCTCCTCTTTCCCTTTTATATCATAGCATCCCCTATCCCGACTCCTGCTTTCTGAAGGAGTCACACCCTTTACCCAGAGCCCTCACCCGTGCCTTCGGGTAGACAGAGAATCCTGTCGTCCTGGATCCAGCTGTAGCAAGGGAAAAGGACCTCTCCTTGGTTCCCCGGGCCCTGCACCGTGATCCACTTGTAGAACCAGTCAAAATTCAACCGACTTTTGTGCTTGTGCAGCTTCACCAGCAGGAGGCACCCCAGGTAAAAGGGGACATCGATCTCCACCTCCGTTTTCTGTGGAACAGAACATTCCGCAGAGGCGGGTATGAGGTCCTTAGCGAGGACAGTGGAGTCTGGATGCTTTCGAAGAAACTTGGCTCTGTTTGTCCCTCCGGGGACACCCAGGGAGAGACCTGAAGCAGGCAGCCGTGAGGAGGAACAGCTAGCTCTGCGGGGCTCCAGCCTCCAGCCTCTAGTCGCATCTTCCCTACTCCTTCCACCCAAGCAGAGAGATACTACTCTATTTTCTCTCTTCTCACTTTCCTTTTTTTCTATCAGGCACCCAATCCTGCACCATCTCATTCCCCCCCCCCCCCCCAGCTTCTGGCCTAGAGGCTCCAGAAGGTGCGGACTGCTCCTCCTCACCCTGGCTCCCAGGCTCTGCACTCACCTTTTCCCGCAATGGCAGTAACAGCTTCCCCAGGTCCGCCTCCCCGTGCTCGCCAACTAGCCACAGCTGCACCAGGTTGGTGGAGCCCGCCAAGAGCGAGTCCCCTGTGGCGACGCGGATCACATACTTGCCCATCTTGCCTGAACCAGGACAGGAACCTGGAAGAAAATCAGCACTTACGAGGATCTGAGACCCAGCTCCCAAGGCACCACACCCAGAGGAAAGCCCCTATTGTGTGTGGGTTGAAAGGGCTCCTCCTCTCACCTCTCTCACTCAGACGCAGGTATCGGGTTCACTATGGTTTCTGCACCCAGGGTTTCTTCCAGCTATCTTAGAAGGTACAATGTTACCTTCATTCACTTTGCAAGCATTCCCTAACGCTCAGCCATGCAGAAGATAACAGCTAAATACTAAAACACCCCCAACCTAATTGTGATGTGAAAAATCAATGAGAAAGCAATGGATCGTACAGAAGAGAGAGAGAGAGAATATCTTGAAGTGTGGGAGTATTTTTCAGTGGAAAGTGAGTAAGCCATCTTGGCAAAGATGCAGAGCTTTGTGTTGAGGTGGAATACAGGTAGTGTTGCACAGGTGAAATAGATATGTTTGTTGTCCAGATTCAGGAGCCAAGAGGGGGAGTTTGGAATTCCCCTTCAGGTTTAATCATGAAGTTTCCATTGGGTTATCCTGAAACAGGGTTTATTTGAAGCCTTCACCACAGGCTGAGCACCCTTAATGTGCCCCATGGGTATGCTCCCTTCAGAACTAATCCTTTCCCAGCCTGGGTCCCAGGATTTGGCCCTCCTCATTCTCACCCTGGCAAGTGCTGCCCGGGTACACATCTCAACTATTCCATCTTTGCATGTCCATGCCTACTCTCCCAGCCCTGAGCAATCCTGCTCATCTAGGCTTACTATTCCCCGAACTTCCTGCCCTATAGTGAGCAAAACTCCTTGAATCTATACCTTTTTGCATAGATGCTCCATTTCTGCATATTGAAATAGTCATTCAAAATAGGTAACGGAAGTGGGAATCTGAAAGTATTCAGATGTACCTTAAATATTTGTTTTAACTCTGACATCCTAAATGTAGAGTCATTCATGAATTCTTTTCTATAGGGCCAAAGTATTTTCTTTGAGTATGGGTCCATAACAAGCTCCCTTAGTTCTTCCCTACATAAACCACATCCAGGTGTGTTTACATTTATTTAAAATGGAGCTAAAACCTAGAGGTTGTTGTGGGGAAAAACACCAAAGGCAGCATCTGTCTAGACCTTTTGCAGTTTTCCCCAAACCTTTTAGCAGTTATCTTGCCTACTGCTAGTCCATAATTTGACAGCGATTTTTTTAATGGTTGCTGTTTATATGGTCATAAAGTATTCAATTTGACTTTAATAAAAAGAATACCTGTAAGTTTATATTGCTATTCCACCATTATTTCCTCTATAAGTTGCATAATAACAATAACCAATTTAACTGATGTAAAGAGTTTTGAAAGCTTACATGACTATTCTTGATAAACACAAACTTTCAACTTGTGGAGTTCAAAGTGCTGAGGTTGTCATAAATTACCCTCCTTGTTATCTGCATTTGGCATGCTGTGAGCATGCCAGGCTTTCTGGAGGGCATGTACCATGTCAGTCACCTGGTAAGTGGGCTAAGTGCAGCCAAGATTTGGAAACTTCTACTGTAAAGTCTGGTTTTTCTCTGATGCCTCTCTGTTCACGCCCACATCTCCCAATACTCAAGAATCCTGGGAACATAAGTGGTCACAACTCTTCCTGCTCCCCCAGCAGCCATCTGTTAGTGACCCTCTTGTGAAGTTCACACCGTTCACCACAAAACCCTCTTTCCTTCCTCCTCACAATGAGAAACTCTCCTACGCTCCCCATGGACCCCAATCTCTCACAACCTTTGACCTGCCACCGTCTTCCAGAGCCTCCATTTCTATTTGAAAAAGACCCTTCTTACACTATGGCAACATATTCCCTCCATGATTCCCTCCCTGTGAATACCCATTTTTCACATTTCAGATGCTCAGAGTCCAATCACAATTCAGAATTCATTTCTTATCACTTAAAATTCACCTGTAGTATATTGTACATACTGTGATTTATCTACTCAACCCATGAGCCATTTTCCCTTTCCTGAAGATTGTGACTAGAAAGAGAAACTGAGTTCCTGAGGATTTTCCAGGTCCTATGAGACCCAGTTCACTTCTTCTCCTTGGGTTCTATGAGACACCTAAGTGTCCTTCCAATACCCCCCCTTTATTGCTTAAGTTAGCTTGAAATGGGTTTCTAGAACAATCAATTCTGCCATATATAAGATCAAAATTATCCTATTGGGAGTAGACTATTAGTAGTAGTATCTCAATTCAATTTGTAAGATTATTTCTCTTAAAACTCCCAACTCAGGACCAGCGGGACAACAGCACGCTGCAGCAGGCAAAATTGAGCGCTATGGAGTTCTGGCAGCATAGAGAAGCAGAGTTTCAGATCCTGTGGAGATCTGCCACCCACGCCTCCACAGGGTACCAGACAGAGAACTGAAGGGGGGACTTAGTGGAGAAACGGCCCATGTCCATCCTCCTCACCAGACACCCTGGTGTGGAAAGGGGCGGTCACCATCTTGGAAAATCGACTTCAGCAGCTTTGGGTGGATCTCATGGCAGAGAGTTTGGCGACAGATCAGGTGTGTGACCCCCAGCCCCCCCTCCACCCAGCTGGGATAACTCAAAAACTTTCTCGCCAGCTCTCTGTGGGCATGAATATCAGAGCTGAGGGAAACTGAAAAGGCACCTGACCTCCAACTCCCCCTCCCGCCAGCAACAAAAACCGAAACCTTTCTCGCTAGCTCTCAGTGGGTGTGGCTATTAGAGGGAATCAGACAGAACAGGTTGCCAGTGTCCAACTCCCTCTTTCCATAGCCATGATGACTGGGTAACTAACAAAAATACAGAGCGCTCAGTTATTCAAGAGGGCAGGGCGGCCAGGGCAGTGCATGCCCAGAGTGAAGCTAGAGCTGTGGACAGGAGCCCCAGTAAGTGGGGCCTGGTGGGCAGGAGAAGTGAGGGGGCTAGAGACTGGGAGCAACCCAAAGTGATCGGGATTGGAGAGTCACCCAGCAGGGGAGGGAGAGCCACCTCACACGGATTGCTTCCTACATCCTGAGGGCAGAGACTTAGCCTGGAAAGCACAATGCTACCTACTGGAAGAGAAAAAAACAGAACTCTAAAAGTGCATTTTTTCTCTTTCTTTTTTCCTTTCTTTTCTTTCTTTCTTCTTTTCCTTGTACTTTTCTTTCTCCTTCTCTTTCCCTCCCAATCTCCCAAGCATTACTACTTCTATTATGTGTAATTTACTAAATGCAAATAGGTGAATGTTTCTAGGCTTTTTATAGTCCTCCTAAGTACTTAGCTACCCCCAAATACTCCAGTCTATTCTCCTGTTAATGTCTCCCTTCATTAGAGCTCTCCTCCAAAGCAGCTAAGATATACTAACCCCCAGATCCTCACATCTTTCCCCCTAAACATAAAGTCCTACAACCAAACCTCAGTTCTCTATATGCCATCAGAATCTGTATGCCTCTTAGGAAACTAATGAATTTACTTTAAATTACAATTGAACCCAACATATCTAGACATTGTCTCCCATCACAAAGGAGAGATCTCGGAGCTATACAAAAGCAAAACAAATTTATAGGAGAAAATAATAACACAGCAGTCACACAGAGCTGGAAAGAAACATGAGCATCATGAAAAGACAAGGAAAAAAAGGAACACAAACAATGTAGGACAACTCAACAATACAGGAGTTTGTAGCCACAGCAGAGAGATTGTCAGATAAAGATTTCAAGATATATATATATATATATATATATACTCAGATGTTATGGAGTCTTAAGGAAGACCTTAGACAGCAAATGCAGACAATGAAAGATCACTTTGACAATGAATTACATAAACAAATCCACGAAGCAAAAGAGCAACTCTACAGGGAGATAGAGGTTATACAAAAAAATCAAACAGAAATCCTGGAAATGAAGGAAATTATAAACCAAATTAAAAATTCAAATGAGAGTATCACCAGTAGAGTAGACCAATTAGAAGTCAGAACATCAGACAATGAAGACAAAATATATCATCTAGAAAAGAGTCTAGTCAACTCAGAAAGGCTAGTAAGAAACCACGAGCAGAACATCCAAGAGATTTGAGATAACATAAAAAAACCAAACTTAAGAGTCATTGGGATAGACCAAAGTATAGAGGTCCAAACTAAAGGAATGAGCAATCTGATCAATGAAATAATTTTAGAAAACTTTCCAGGCATGAAGAATGAAACGGAAATCCAAATCCTAGAAGCCTACAGGATGCCGAATGTACAAAACCACAAGAGACCCACACCAAGACACATTATAATGAAAATGTCCAACATACAGAACAAGGAGAGAATTTTAAAAGCC